TTCAGATCCCTCCAAAAGGCCAGGAGTGAGGGGGCCAATCTCACCTCTGGGGGCAAGATATTCCAAAGGGCGGGGGCTACAGCAGAGAACGCCTGCATTCTGGACCTTGCTTCTGGAGATTGATTGATTGATTGATGATGTGCCATCAACTTGGTGTTGAGTCTTAGATAGATTGATCTGTCCCCAACTCTGGCCTTTCAGGTCTTCCAATGATGTACCCATCACTGCTGTAATTGACTCCATCCACCTCACTGCTGGTTGTCCTCTTCTCTTTCCTTCCACCTGTCCCAGCAGGACCCCTCTCCCCACTTTCTAGCTTGCAAGCTTTGCTCTCCTGAGCAATAGAGTAGGTGGATAGAGAATACCATTCTGGATAGTGGGAACAGTACTTCTTTTCCTTTCCTTTCTTCTATAAGTGCCCTGGCAAGGGGGATTTAAATATGATTCACCAGAAGTCATCTCTTCTGCAGTTACTAAAAGGTCTTCAAGGGATGAGCATAGCAGTTGCCTTTCTCCTTCTGTCAGTTTCTCAATTTTGTTTTATTTTGTTTTCAACTACCTCAATAACATTCTGTGTTTCAGCTGCTCTTAGTCATTGATTTTTTAAATTAAGGTTATTTCCTTAATTAAATTAATTATGATGCCTCCTAGCATCACTCAGCCATCACTGAAGATGGAATGATGTCAGAAGGAGTTTCCTCCCATTTCACCTTGCACCCCTCCTCTGCACCTACAACCTGATAGCAGGGCTATATTTAGGCTCAGCTTTAGTGCTCTCTCAAGACACTAGACCTGTGTTCAGAAGTTGCCCTAACTCTGTGCCAGGTCACAGATGCAGAGCACCTCTCTGTCTGTGACCTGTTAGGTAACTTGACAGGTGGTTAAACCCACTGTTCAAAGCATCTTTCTAAATTCATCCAGCCCTGCCCGACCCTGCATTAAGGAGAGTGATTGTTTTTTCCACCAGAAGGTGATGCTTAGCGTTTGGGGAAACGGAGCCAGGAGAATCCACTGGTTGTTTTGCTTAACTTGCCTGCATTAAAACTTTAAGTGCAGCACCACTTATCAGCCTGGTTGTTGAGACAGATGAGATTGATGGGGCAGGAAATGTTAAGGCATCAGATGGTGCCTGCATGTTATGGTGGCCATCTAGTCGTACCCAAAACCACTACTGGGGAATGGTGGAAACTTTCTAATGTCGGAATTCTTCAAATCCTCTCTAAGAAAAACAAAACACAAACTCTTCTGTATCCATAGATTCAGCATTCTGTAAGCTTGCAGTTTCTTATTAAACAGTTTTTGAGCTTTTAATTATTTCTGTTACTGGTATTTACAACCATATACTTCATCTGCCTGTAAGAAGCTGTGTCTTATTTCTGCTTCATCTCCAGATTATTGGGCACATAAGTTTCCTATTAAATGCAGTGGTAACAAACTGACCTTTTTTTCTTTACTTCATGAGCATCACATCATGTGATATCCAGCATTTCAGCCAACAGATCAATAGTATTTCATTTATTTTACAGATACCAAACAGAATGCAGAACAAAAAACAAAAATCTTGCTTCAGAGTATATTTACCATACTCTATTCCAGCTACTGAACCTAGGCCGATCTTTCTTCAGTATCCTTATTGTTTCATTAGGTGCAAATATAACACTGGTTGTCTCAGCAAAATTAAAATAGTTTCCTCTAAATTAAAGGCTGGGAGCTGCCAGGCTGGTTTGGAATGTGATACTATCAGACATCCAGAAAGTATGATAGTTTCTTTCTTCAATCATTTTTGGCCTGCTCCCCTGAGAATATTAGAACAGCTTTAATAATCATACCAAGCAGTCAACAGCATTTATCCTGATATTACTGAGTAGCTCACAGGCAGGCCAATAAAGTTACAAACTTCAACTCCATTCAGCGATAGATTTCTTTGACTATGGAGATTTTGGAATGCATTCTACACTTCCATCTTTATTTAGCTATCAAAGAAACTGCATGTGCTGTAAAGGTCATCAGTTAGATTAGATCTGACCTTTATTTTGATCTCTGTAAGAGCCAAAGATTACACCAAGATTTTATTAAGAATTCATTGTGGTACCTCTGTTTCCAGTTCCTTCAAGATTTTACTGGGGTGGCAAGGTGGGGGGCACACAATTACAAGCATGACCTTGCCTATAGTAAAATTTCATATATAATTTAGACTAAGTCATCTTTCTCATATGCATTGTGACTTAGAAAGAAAGATATAGAAATTGGGCTGAAATGTATAAAACCTTCCAAGAAGGAAGTGGCAATCGGGTCTACTGTATATTGGAATGAGAAGTTAATGACAAGGTGGTGAGTATTATTTAGAGAGAATTCAGTCAATGTGCATATAGCATTCTTATTCTAGCTGGGGTATCTAATATTGAAAAGGAGATAATGATCCTCCTGTGCGGAGATGCACACATTTTTGTTTTTTTGATTTAGGATAGAGTGGGTAACAAAGAAGTGAGTAAGCCAAAACAAAAGCAAAATGTAAATTCATGAAATAGAGTTAATATGGTTCTCACCTATTCAATCATAATTTGTTTATAACTTCTAGAGGAGCTCTTGGGTCAACAAACCCAAAACCTGGAGGGGACCCAGGGTTCTCTGACCCTCAGGTTGCATACTTTTCTTTAGTCAAATCTTGAGGCCTTTCCAGCTAAACATATTGCAGCTAAAGATCAAGTATTCTTACAAAAAACAAAGTCTCTTGATAATGGGAAAAAAATGGTCTCCCAAGAAACATTTTCTGAAAAATTAATCATTTCTGCAAACCAAATCCCTTAGAAATTACTAATTGAACTTTAATTCTGGATGACTTTAACAGAAGAAGCAAGCCTCTGATTGTATAATATGCAGACAGGCAGGTACACCCAAAAATAAATCAAAACCACTCTGAAGCACCTATCCAATTAGACTGGTAAAGCATTTTGTAGTGTTTGTGGGGGAGAATATGAGTTAATGTTTTATTCATTTGCAATATTTGTAAATCACTACTATCATCACTACCAAGAGACAACTTGTCAATGGTTGTGCTCAATGACAACTTGTGTGAATAAATCTCTAGGGCACTGGGAGTGAGAAAGAATGCTTAAAGACAGAAGAGCCAACCTGATTTGGTTGGAAGAGATTGGGGTTTCACCCCATCTTTCTATCCCAGGAGTCAAGGCAGACATAGTGAAGGCTTGTGGTTGTCAGCTTGTTCAAGGGAAGACACTTAACAGATTATCAGCTGACATTCTGGTGCTCTAAGCAATCTTTTGAACTGTACTTAAGGAAATCACAAGATAAAGAGAGTCTGTTTCACAAAACATACGAAGCCATAATCACTTGTGTTTTTCTGTATTTGTGTATTTGATATTTTCTACCTCAAATACAGCAGCAAGCATCTAGATACTGAGCATAAGGTTATCTCAAATCAAGGGTTCATTAAGTGCAAATCCAGGACACAATTATTTCTCTGACTATGCAATCCTATGCAACTCTCATTGAGTTCACCGACCTCCTCAGACTCAACAGAATTGCTGGGCTCCATTTTGTCCCATCTGTTGTACAATATTTTTCTGTGCCATAGTGGATCATTAGAGAGACAATGTGGTTAGTATACAGGCAGATGATCAATCATTGATTGATAAAAAAGCAATTACTTTGGCTTTTAAAGATTTTCCATATACGGTTTTTTTTTTAAATTATTTGTACAGTAAAATGTTTCTATGTATATCTAAAACAATACCTGTACTTTCAGAAAATTTGCTCTAGAGTTATCACACTAGTATAGATAGTTAAACTGAGATTCTTTTTTAAAACACAACTGAATTGAGCACAAAGTCTTGTTTCACTCCAAAGATGAATAACCTTTAGATTTTTGTTGTTGTTGAGAAGAGTAATATAAACACCGCATACCACTGGAACTGCTTTCCATGGAAAATGACGAGATTCAGTGTTCATTGCACTTTGCTAATATTGACATGTTTGACCAGAGAAAAAATGCATGATTTTGCCAGGAATAAAAAAAAGTTCCAAGTTAAGCATTAGATCTGCAGAGATTCAAGCTCATCTAATTGCTTCACACTAGCAATTTCAGGTTTCAGTACAGTGTTCTGCTGTGTATGTATATGTATATGTATATGTGTATGTGTGAGAACATTATATGTTTATCTGTATAACTTTCTGTGCTGATTATTTAATTTATTTAATTGTATCAATGTAATTTTTGTTTGGAGTCAGATGAATCTAAAATCAAATGAATAATCTCTTGCAAATGTCTGTTTAATTTGAACAAATTCTTAGTAGCCACTAAAGCAACCTCCTTTTTATGTATGCTCACAATATTTTTCAGCCAAATAATGTTTTTAGAACAGATGCAAAACTTTTATTGAACTAATTGTTGCTCCAATTATTTCAGTATTGCTTGTATTAATTCTATTGATTCTCTTCTATCAGGATGACTTTCATAAATTACAGCTTCCTCCATCTGGTGAGACCAGAAAAGGAGAAGCTTCTCTGGAAAATATTTAAAATAAAAAAGAGATGGCAAAGAACTCCAAATGGGAAAAATGGAATTAAAATTATAAATGCAAAGTAGGATATGCAAGTCTAGATGAGTCACACTGGAGCACAAGGTCTGAATCTTATTTACATGCTGTTGTAATCTGGCATGGTGGTCAATGACCAAGTAAGCTCGAGGAACAGGGGGACAGATGTTGGGAAAAGAGCAAATTCCATATATTAAGGAATCAAAAATAAAATGCTGGTGTCATAATACCTACAGTATATCAAATCTATGATATAGCCACACCTGGAGCACTATGCCCAGTTTTGAACATCACATTACAGAAAGAAATTTGCTGAATATGTCCTTCATGAGGAAAAGTTACCAATGTTGTTTTTAGAAAAACAATACAGGGGCATGATAGTCGTGTATGAAACTAGGTAACAATTTTTCTCCCTCAGAATACTAGAATCAGAGTTATCCTATGAATAGTTCAGGAACAGCAGATACACAAACTGAAATTTCCCATCATAAACATAGCAGAATATTCAATCAACCGGGGTATAAGAGGCTATGGAATTTTGCCTGAGCTGAATGTTTAACCAGTCAGGGGAGACTAAGCAGAAATATTAATTATACGGATTTTTTTTTAATATGTTTAAAGTTTTGGGTTTAAAAGTGAAGTTGAGAACATTTAATCTCCATACCACAAGGTTGATTTATGGGTTGATTTGTTAAAGGAGTCATGAACAAGGAGCATACTGGTAGCAACCCTTAGTTTTTAGACAGTTTTAGTGTGTTGATAATAGCTGTGTTATTTTATAGCATTACTGTGCTCTTGCTTTTTTAGCATGTTTGTATGAGGTCTTTTTTAAAAATAAGTTTTAAAAAGGTAAGGCTGACCAACAACCTGGACAGCTTTAAATGGAGTTTAGAGAAATCAGTGGAGGACAGGCCATCACTGGGTACAAAACATGATGGCTATATAATAAAGCTGTGGAAAGCACTAAATGAAGCACTAAAGTGCAAGTAAAGTGTGGAGAAAGTCACCTCTTCTAGAAGGCTTGGCACAATTATTTCAAGGGTTTTCCAAGTTGTCTGTATATACATCTTCATTACGGACAACATTTTTCCTCAGAGTGCTGGTGGAGTGGCATGAAGATACCTGCAACTTGAGGACCACCCCACAAGAAGCCTTGTGGAGAATGTGGCTCCTTCAGTGTGGTGAGGGAAAGTGCTTCAAATGGTTCACGCAACACTGCCATATGATACCTCCAGCATTAGCGGAACTGTATTAATGTTAAGCAGGCAAATTCTCCTGCAAATTTTTCCTACCAGTTTTCATTCAGTCTAATGGGGGACAAATAGACCTCTTTCAAAGGAGAAGTTTGGAGAAATTCTCATGGGTGGAATGTAGGACACGTGGACTTTAGTTTTGTGATGGTCAAGGAGTGTCTTTCATTGTTCAATCATCTCTCCAGCAGCTTGCAACCTCCCTGGCTTCCCAGGCCTCAATTAAAACCAAGGGATGGTATCATGAGAAAATGTCTCTCATTAGTCTTCTCCAGTAGCGGTGGTATTCTTATTAAGGAAGAGGCTTACCCTTAAATTCCTCAACTTCCCTCGAGAAATTAAAAGAAACTGTCCTTCTAATTACTCTGCTCACAGATTTGGTGAATAACTTTGAAAGGCTATTTGTACACAGCTTGTTATTACATAGCTAGCATGAATAGTAGCCATTGTGTTCCCTCTTAGTATCAGTTGCTGGAGAACGTGAGTAGGATGATACTGTTGCATTCATGTCCTGCTTCTTGGGCACTGAAAAACAGGGACCTGGATTATATAAAACTTTCAGCACATAAACCATATTCTATGTTTTTGATTTCTATCTGTAATGCCCCCCAGTTCTCCCAAATACAATATGACTTAATGCTGAGTTGCTTTACACAAGAACCAACACCTAAAGCATTTTTCATGCACAGGATGCTGATGGGAAGGGCTGCAAAAATGTGGATATCTTCGCTGCCACCTAGTGGCTGTCCAAATTTTTGCAGGCCGATCTGAGAGCCCTAGTCAAGAAACAATACTGCTGCTCGGAGCCAGCCTGCCTCCTCATATTTGGATACTGTATATGTATTTTTTATTTTGATGCGAAGGACTCTGTAGCTGAAACATTTATCCAAAACGTTGTACAATATATTAACAAAATGCTCCAGTTTTGAACTTCATAAGAATTTCAAGGGATTGCATACTTCTTTCGAAATCATATGAATGTCATTGATAATGAAATAAAAACATGCTGTTTTATCTTAAGGCACCTAAAGGTGTTGATTCCTAATAATTCAAAAGATTATTTTATTATGGTTTGCTTCATTCTACAGCTACTTGATCAACTGGTATATACAAAGTTGGAGATGATGTTTTGATTACTCTGCATCATAATAGTGATTATTTCTGCTATTTTTCAAGTTCAAGGTGAGTTTCCTTGTTTCCAGATAAGCAACACACCTCCCAAAACACACAGACACACACAATGTGGAGGTATCAACAGATCTGGAAAACTCAAAAGTTTATAGAATTGTTTTGGGAATAGATAATGGAATGCATACTGATTGTGGGAGGAGATGGGAAGGGGAATAGAATGAAGTATTTAATTGGAAGTCATGCCCAAACTATTGCAACAATGAATAGAAACATTCCACAATGCAACATTTCATGATAAATCTCATTTGCATTTTATCTTCAATAATTATCAACATCTGGTATTGTTAAAAAGGATCATCAGCTAGTTTGTTCGGAAGATTGTCTATTACTTACATCAAGTATGTGTATATATGACTTTCAGTTGAACAGTTTATAATATCTATAAAGTTTCATTAATTCTCCTTCCCTTCAAAAGATCTCAAATTGGAAAAATCAGGCTGATAATCTGGTCCTACCATGTATCACTGTTCTAGATCCTGACCCCAGTGCCTCTCAAGTCATCATCCCATCCCAGCATCCCTCAGATGCTGAAAAAGGGTGTGGGACAAAGGGGGAGGGGACAAAGCTTTGAAATTTGACTGTTTATCAGGAATTGTGGTTGTATTGAGCATGGGAGGTGGCAAAAAGAATTATATTGAGAAATTGGAAAAGTGATATTATTCCATATGTCAAGGAATGTTGTCAGAAGTGTGTGATTTATCTGTTTTGGAAAAGACAATATTCTCTACTAATCAAAGGATGCAGCAATATGTTACTATGGCAGAGATTCTGTGATATCTTACAATAATATCTTGTATTGTTCATATTATAGTAGTGAATTCATTAGTAAACCAGTGACTACTGATAAGTATAAAAGATGAGATAGATTTTTTCCTTTCTTTTTCTTTTGTTAGTTTGTGTTTTTAGTTTGTACTTTTAACTTTTTTAGTTTTTCTTTTTTCTTTAAGATTAAAGATAATTTTGTTGAAAAATAATAATAAATAAATAAAACAAAAAAACAAACAAACAAAAAGATGGGGAAGAGAGGGGAGGAAACAAAAGTATATCCATCTACAAAAATCTTATATATTATGGACTAACATAAATAGTAAACATTTTGATGGCAATATCTCCCCTCACCATGCATTCTGGCATAATGCCTCTATAAGATTTGTTGGCTTACAAATACAATACAAGCAAATGCTACCAATTTTTTTTTCCCAATAGGAATGGAGCTTTGCCCTCTGAAGTAAAGACATACGTTTGGTATAGTTTATTAGTAGTAAATTCTAAACCATTAAAACTCAGGATCTCCCAGTGCACAGTTCACATTTTAGCTAATTTGCTTAAAGAAAAAGAATTGGTAATACAGTCTACATGTTTCCAGATAAAAATCCTAATGCTAACACAATCAAAATGTTATTCCACCGTTCTCTGTTGAATCAATTTTACCAGGTAAGCAAATATACAGAATTAGTAGAGAGAAAACACTATTGGTCACCAATGGAAGATGCTATTGTTCGTGGGGTAGGGGCAGTTGTGAAACATGCACAGGAGTGACTTCATAAGAATAGACATGTCCAGTAGTTTCCATAATTATTGTGGGCCCAGGTAGCCTTGACTGGAGATCAACAGTAGACAGAAAGAAAGAAGAGCAGTAGATAAAATTAAATGTAGTATGAGTTAGATTGTTAAGGTCACACAAATTACCATAGTAATGGTTAGGGATGATGGGAGTTTTACTTCAATAGAATATGGAGAATGTCACATGGGTCACCACTAATAAATAAATAAATACTATATAACTTGATGCTCAGCATTGCAAACTCATGTGTGGTCAGATAGGCCATCATTAAGTTGCTGAATCAACAAGATTTCTTATGTGTGTTTCATTCATAGCCTCTGAGGAGCCCAGAAGAATATCTGTGTGATTCCCAACCAGCATATCTAGCCAAAAAAGATTGTAGAATATCTTCATATAATCTGCAGTAGTGCTCGGTTTATCCTAAATGTTTATCCGCTTATTCAAAAGGTCACTGAATTGTGCTTTTAAACATGCAAAACAAACATGGAAAATGTGTATATGTGTATATTTATTGCAGTGGGGCATGTGTGTATCTATTGTAATATGACTGCTTAAAATGTGCGAAAGGATATGGCTAAGTATTTCACCAGATCTGACAAAATATGCTACTTATCTAAGATGCCTTTCAGCTGAATTAAGGAAAAGACATTCATATGAAGATGAAGTACACAGATTCATTGAGCAGCAATGGCTGGAAAGGAGATGACCTCCTACATTTTTTTGTCCTGACATTCCAGAGATGTCTACCTTGATGAAAAGAAACAGAGCCCACGAAGAGGGAGAATGAGCAACAATCTGTATTCTGTCACTTCAATAGATGACTCACCATTGGCCTCTGTGACTAATTCTTTTTGCACAGAACAGTCTGTAAGGCTGGAAACTGAAGGAAGAAACAGCTGGGCCAGAACTATTTTTATAACTAATACCATATGGAAAGCAGCAAAAGTTTTCCTATTGGGCTGGGGGTGACTTGTTTTGTTTTCTTAGCATTGTTGCTATTTCTAGGGTCAGGAGGGCTATATGACTTGTTCCATTATTAGTAAAGAAAGGGAGCTCTTTTTATTTTTATGTCTATGAATAACTAATGTTTCTAAGTCCAAGAGGGCAGCATATAACAATTTTATAGGGTTGATCACCAGAGATCCTGCTCCTTCTGCTACATTCAGCCCAGCCTCTTATTCATTGCCAGCTCCTTGGTCATTGTTTTCTTTTCCTCCTGTTGTTTTCCATTTCTTCTAGTCTGCACAAAGGCTACGTTGTGAGATTGATGTGGCTGACTTCGGACAGGCAACCTAGTGCTCCGTAAGTGCATTGGACTCCGAAATCCATCAGCCTCCGATAGCTTGGCTAAATGTAGGGCTGCTATGGTGGCTGTGAAAAAAGGCAAATTTGATGCTTGGGAGCATTAGGAAAGAGACTTAAAATTAAGATGCCAACGTTGTAATGCCATTATACAAATCTGTGGTACAGCTGCATCTAGAACACCCTGAATGGTTTGGGCAGCCAAATGTGAAAAAAGATATAATAGAGCTGGAAATATGCAACCAAAATTATCACAGGATTCAAATGCTTTCTCTGTGGGAAAAGGCTAGAATGTTTGGGACCTTTTAGCCTGGAGAAAAGGGACTGAGGTAGGAAAAGGCCTGAGGTGTTAAAAATCACGTACAGTGTGGAGAAGGTAAAAAAAGAAGTCCTCTTTCTCTCTCTCAAACATTAGGTCCAGGGCCATAAATGAAACTGATGAGAAGGATATTTAAAAGAGGCAAAAGGAAACACTTCTTTAAACCACATATTTATTTTATTTATTTCTTTAGTTGCTAGACTGATAAGATACTAAAGGGCCTTCCTGCCATCTTTAAGTAAGGAGGAAAGTATGTTGCTATAAACTGCATTGTCCCCACACCCTATCTTTACTATGCCTCAGCAGTGAGGCTGGGCAATACGGCCACCCAAATGTAAATTATTTATTTATTTAAAGTAATTGTATTAAAGATTGCAATGACAACAATCAAAACTAAACAAACTAAAATAAATAAAAGAATAAATAAAATTAGAAGGTGCAGAAAAGAAAGAAAACAGAGAAAAAGAGAAAGAGAAAGAGAAATAGAAAAGAAAGAAAAAAATAAGAATATAGTAAAGAAAAAGAAAAAATATAAAGAAGTGACTTCCCACCTTCATCACAATTTAGTAACTTATTACATCCTCTCAAAATACAACAAATAATCTCTTCTTCCCATATCCCATCTCTTATCTATAAACAAATCCCTAAAGCATTGTTATTTCAATCCTAATGTCGGCGAAAATCCATTAAATTACTAGACATAATATATCAATTTTAACCTTGATCAAATAAACCAGCTTTATATTTCTTCCTTTTATTTCTAACAACCTTGATCTGTAGTCCCTTCAAATAATACCCTAGAACTTGATTTCTTTTCATTTTTTCTTTGTCCTTTCTCATAAAATTCTTCAAAACTTTAACAAGCCTCTTTTGTAAATCCAATATAGGAAAATTAAAACCAGCTTTATATTTCTTCCTTTTATTTCTAACAACCTTGGTCTGTAGTCCCTTCAAATAATACCCTAGAACTTGATTTCTTTTCATTTTTTCTTTGTCCTTTCTCATAAAATTCTTCAAAACTTTAACAAGCCTCTTTTGTAAATCCAATATAGGAAAATTATCCAGGTCACTCTCTTGGTTTGTTATTTGTATATTAAGACATCAGCCAGTTTCTTCTGTATGCCCAGTATAACATCCTTTTCCATGTCATTCTTGTAGCTTGTCATTTTAAAATCCACTTTCAAATCAGTCTCAATTTTTATCAAGTAAAATTGGTTCCTCTGTCATAACAACTTTTAAACAGTCTACCTATAGAGGCAGACACTATTAAAATTAACTTCTGGGTCCATTGTTCAAAAATATCCTTCAATATGTCTAATGTTAAAATATTTTGATTCATTCTGTAATTCTAAGTCAAATTTGGGTGTTCTCCTTTAGTTATAATCTTTAATCCCCTCTAGTTCCCTCTAGTGTCCAATTTTTAAAGTCTCGCCTTATTATTTATTTATTATTAAATCAAAACTAAAGCATTTTCCCATGCAAAGGATTCTTTATAAGTAATTCCAAAATCTTATTTCAAATTTATCTGGACCCTTAGTCTAGTTTGTAACTTTTTAAAATCAAAGTTTTAATCACCCTTTTGCTGTTTATTCAAAAAAAAAAATTAGGTTCTTAAACTTGTAGTTAAAACTTCTTTTGCTAAGGATTGAAGGAAACTCACCCAGTGCTGTAAAATTTGTCAATCCAAACATTCCTAATAGCAAAAAAGCAGTTAACAAGCAATTTCTGAAACTGATTAGAAAAGTTCTTAAACTTGTAGTTAAAACTTCTTTTGCTAAGGATTGAAGGAAACTCACCCAGTGCTGTAAAATTTGTCAATCCAAACATTCCTAATAGCAAAAAAGCAGTTAACAAGCAATTTCTGAAACTGATTAGAAAAGGAAGTACTGTATGCAAACTTAGTGTCCTTTCAAAGGTGCCGACCATGATTTGAGCTAGATAGCTATTCCCTCATCTCCCAGAGCTCTAAACCTGCCAGAGACCACTGTCTTGCAATTTAATGTGGGGAAATTTTAGGGCATCAACTGTTCCCTGCCATCCTTTCCCTTCTGATCAATATCTACAAGTAGAAAAGCCATCTACCAGTTGTTTTCCTGAACATATGGCGAGTGAAGTTGAGGATTCAAACTTCAATTTTTATTATTTTTATTATTGATTTACTTGGCCTAATTCTAATTATTTACTGCGTTTTTCTTCTGATAGGACTGTCTCCTGGGAAATCAACAGTCCTGGCAGAGAGACAGAAGATTGATATATCTATCATTCTCATCCCCAAAAGTCTGTCAGAATGATCATAAAAATTAATTTAGAACATAAAGCAGAGAAACTGAAACCAGACAACTCACAGTGCTATTGTGTTTCTGGATCATTCTCTCCTCTCCCCTCCTGAAGACGATTTTTTCCACAAACACTGTAATTTTTGGTTACACAGAGAGCCTCTATATTTGTGTGTGTGTGTCTCATGTGATTTTGCTAGTTCTCCCCAACAATAGTAGGATCTTGTCTGCCACCTCTATTGATCTCCTGAGCAGCATAATGAGAAAAAGAGCAGGTATTCCATCTGCCTCACACCCAAAGTGAAAATAGCGACGTAGGTATAATGCCCAGCAATTAGATAGGGAGGGGGCATTTCTGCAGCAGACCTTGTGGAGCTGAGTAGATCGTTATCCCTGACTATGTCATCCCCCTAAATTGTCCACGTGGGAAGTTTTGTTTTAGGAGAAGAAGGAAAATACCACTTCCAAACTGGAACAACTGAAGATGGCTCTAGGTTACCTTTTGTAGAGAGCTGGATATGAGATGGAGGCAACTTCATGAAGATACAATCCTCAAAACAGTGAAGCATCTTCATGCTGTGGCAAGTAGGATGTGAAGATGAGCCCTAACATACTTCTATGGGAAGGGCAAATCCCTAGATTTTGTTTATCAAGATTACAGTTATGTAATGATGGGTTTTAACTATCATGATTTTCAGCTTTATAACTGGGCATACATTTTGACTTCACTTTCTTTGTGGAATGTAAGTGATCATTTCACAAAACCATTATTAACTCAGTTAGAAAGATACTATCTTACCCCACTGACTTTATGGCAGGAGGTTAGTTCTACTTTTATCCATAGCTGTATTCTTTTTTCTTCATTAAAGTTAGCAAAGCACATTTGAAAAATGTTGGGACTCAAGTCTAATATTAAACATTATTCCAATGACAAACATACCCTTTGGGACAATCTGAAAATAGTAAGTAAACCTTGATTTTAGAAGTCATAAGCAATCAGCAGTATTAATGTTTGAGAGCAGGTTATTGCTATCATATTTTCAAGCAATCTGAGTTATTAGAAGAAAAATTTGGACTGCCTAGCATTGAAAAATAGCAGTATATGCAATTAAAACATACCTTGATTTTATAATCTGGCCCAGATGCATTATCTGTGTCTAAAATTCCCACATTTCTATCAGTACTATGATGTGCTCTAGGTGATTTAAAGTCTACAGTATTTCTAAACAACAGTTAAAAGTATAACTAAGCTGGAAATTACTTATTTGCAAGACCTCAGAATAAACAATTGTAATATCTCATATTAACAAACCAGAGTCTTAAAGTACATTAAGTAGGTTTCTTATGATTTTAAGATGAGATCTGATCAGCAAAAGATTCCTTGCACATTTATTGTGAACCCAGAGAATATTTTGAAAATGGCAGGCTATAAATTTTATTCTGTTGGAAGTGGAAAACGAGTGCAGGGACACTTACTCATATGATATGGGTTTGCCTTATTGTTCTGTTTTTAGTTGGTGTTGCAAATATCAGCATAGTTTAAAGATGCACATTACATGCCCAAAAATATGGAGCATTATATGAAGAATTATGGATTTGTCAATCAGCACCTCCCAAAAAGAGAATATCTTTTAATGTTGGAAAGACTACATCTGTTTACATCTGTTTCCTATCAGTTTATGAGCTTTATCAATATAATGCAGAGAGCGATCATATTACATTATGTGATCAAGTTTTAAAGATTTGGTTACAAGCTACACTGAATTAATTCATGTACATGAGTGTTTTGATTGTTTGGTTTTTGTAATTTTAATTGTGTGAATCGCCCACAATCACATAGGCAAGAAGGGTGGCTATATAAATTTAATAATTAATTAAATAAATATAACATAGGATGTTTTGTTGCTTTTGTTCTTTAGTTCTATTTCTTTCTGCTTTTTTCACTTTTGTATATTAAAGTGAAATTTTTAAACAAATGCAGAGTAGTTCTCTTAGAATATTTTTAGCTCCTTGCTTTTCAGAACTCTCATGGTAGAAAAGCTGTCGGCTTGCTTGCTCTAAAATATCTTAATCATCATTTACCAGGTTGGAAAATGCAGAAAAGTGTGATACATTTTCCCCTATAGGGCTGTATTTATTTAATTGCCTTTCATTTCAATTGTTTAATATGCTATTTAATAATCACCTTGAGTTAATGGGTGGAGATTTGGTTTCACAGGTATTTAACAGATCTTTTGTATGACAGGAACTCTACCTATGAAAGAAAGTAAAAAAAAAAAAAAAGCTTAAATTCAGCATTATGGCACAAAGATATGAAAAATATAGATGATTGCAGTGAAACTCAGAATACTTTTTCTGTAACAAAATGCATGGTTTTTTGTTGAAAATTAAAACTGCTATTTTTTATGCCAGAATCTGCTGTGTCCTATTCCTTTTGTAGCTATTTTTATCTGTTTTACATTTCATTTTTTCAAAATTAACATATCTATATCTTTATATCTCTATCTCTATCTACATCTATATCTATCTACTGTATATATCTATATAACTGATACGACCTCAATAATTTTAAATAGGGGAGAGAATAAAAAGATGAAAAGGCATGGGAAATAATCATAAGCAGAACAATACCCTCCTTCCACAAAATTACTGAATGGCTTAACAGTCTTCCTTGCTTCTTTGTTGATCCCCTCCTAATTTAAATGTTTTTTTTTTTATCCGCACTCAGTCGTGACCGATTCTGCGGCGACTGCCTGGACGAGTCCCTGCAGTTTCAAAGGCAAGGTGTTTCGTAAGTGGCTTGCCAGTGCCTCCTTCCTAGAGCAGAGCCCAGCTGGCGAGCGCAGGAGGCGGGGTTTCCGTTGCTTCGCACCTTTTTCAGGTGTGTGCGGCTTCCGCGCTACCAGCAACTGGTTCCCGTCTCCCGTGCAAGCGCCACCAGCTTTTTTCCTCCCACTGGACTGAGAGTG